GTCGTCAGTAGGAAGTGAGATGACCGGGTCTCTGTTTGGGCGAGTGTAAGGGGTGGTGTTGGGTAGGTTGAGGCAGGAGGAGTGAGACCAGTTAGGAGACCCCTGACAATAATTGAGGCAAGAGCCTGGCCTGGGACATTAGGGGGGCGACGGAGAGCCTCCGTCAGCGGAAGCCCTAACTATTAGGCTACTCCCATCAATTCACTGGGTAGCACATACCATTGCCAAGCTTGCTCTTATACTTGTTGCTAGTGTGGGTGATGGCATATACACCTTTATGCTTGCATTTGTGTACATAATATACTGATATATGTGTGATTGTACGGGTACTCTAACTAGCCCATTATACATACTACCAGAGGCCCAGTGCACAAATTTGTGCACAGGTGGGGTCCAGCCAGCCTGGCCTGTCAGGAGGAGACTGTGGGAGGTTGGCCGGTCAGCCCCTCCCCCAATTGATGTGGAGGGGGGATGATTGGGGGTGGAGCTGGTTGGGGGGAGGGGCTGTGGGCAGTGGGCCGGTGGGCTCCGCCCAGAATGGGGTGGGGGGCAATGGGGGCCACTGGCCTGGGGGAGGGGCCATGAGTGGTTAGCTAGCAACCCTACCCTTGATCAGGGTAGAGAGGTAATCAGGGGAGGGGCCAGCCAGGGCGAGGCACCTCTGGAGGTTAGTGCCGGCCCCACCCCGGATCAGGCCAGTTCCCTGGCTGCAGTGGGTGTCATAGTGACCGGCTCTTTTGGTGGCTTTTTATATATATATATAGAGATAGATAGATAGATAGATAGATAGATACTGAAACTTGTTTTCCCACTTAAACTATATAGAGGTCATTTTTTTTTATCTGGAACTGCCCAATTCCCTTTTGATAGCTGCTCAGTATTTTATTCTATGGATGCACCATAATGTATTTATAACACATAATTTAATTATGATGGACATTTAGATTTCTGGTATTGTGCCATTACAAATGATGCAGTGAGTATTCTTGTATGTGCATATTGTGCACGTGTGAAAATATAGCCAAGTTCCTAGAAATGAATTCTTAGAAGAATCTGACGTTCTCTGAAATTGCCGAGTTAAATGGATTGGGCAGTTGTACTTTAGTATATTGCTAAGTTACTTTCCACCCTGCCCGTTTTCCTAAACCCTCAACAACACATGGAGTTACCACTTTCATTTCCCTTTCAAGTACAATTTTTATCCTTTTTTTTTTCATTTTCCATTTGTGTTATTGGCCTTATTTCACTCTAGGAGCTCTTGATTTATTAAGGAAATTTGCCTTTTATGTGGTATAAGGTTAAGATATTTCTTCCCAGTATGATATTTGTCTATTGGCTTGACTTTTGGTAGTAATTACTATAAAATTTCCTTTAGTTAAATCTATCAGGGTTTTTTGTACATGCACACAGCTTCTAAATTTCATGTTAAACGTAGAGACGAGCTTATCACTTCCATGATTATTTTAAAAACTCTTCCATTGTTTTCCCCCAGAATTTGTATAGTTTAATTTTTTTAATTAAAAGTTTTCCACCATTTGTAATGTATTTTGGGATAAGGTATCAAACGCCTCCCCCCCTCCTCCATTGTCCCAACACCATGCATTTAAAAATTCTTACCCTCGCCCTAATCGGTATGGCTCTGTGGATAGAGTGTTGGCCTGTGGACTGAAGGGTCCCAGGTTCGATTTTAGTCAAGGGCATGTACCTTGTTTGTGGGCATATCTCCAGTAGGGGGTGTGCAGGTAGCAGCTGATTGATGCTTCTCTCTCATCGATGTTTCTAACTCTCTATCCCTCTCTCTTCCTCTCTGTAAAAAAAAAATCAATAAAATATATATTTTCAAAACAAATAAAAACTCTTACTCTGTTGACCTGAAATGCTGTAAGTTACCTTCTTACGTGTGGGTCTTATCTACCCAGCTGGAGGAGAGACTTTTTCAGGGCCCATTCGGTTTTTATCCTGTCTTGTTTCCCCCGTAATGTTCTGTATAGAATAGGTGTGACAGTATTTGTTTTACATTTTAAAAAACTGTGAATTCCATAGTCCGTATAGGAAAGAACACAACACATTGGTGCACGGTGTAATTAACGTTTATAAAATGAACATCTGTTACCACCACCTAGCCTAGACCAAGCAGTGGGCCGTTTCCAGCTTCCCAGGCGCCCCCTGGAGGCTCTTCCCGTCACATCCCTGTCCCACCCGCAGAGGGAACCTCTCTGTTGACTTGGGACAGCGACTTCCTTGTTTTTCTTTGTCTTGAGGTTCAACTACATGAAAGTGCCTTTTTGCCCCCCCCTTAGGTAAAAAAAAAAATCATTGAATATCTGCAATTTTGTGTGTCAGCCTGGAAATTTGACCACCTCTGGGTCTCTCAACAGCCTAGCGCAGTTGAGCCCGGTTTTGCGTGTTATTCAGCGTCATCTTCCTGTGTTTGCCCTTGCTGTGTGTGCTGCTTCCACTCGCTGTGGTGCAGTGTTCAGTCCAGGGCTGCAGGGAGTCGGTTCCCATTGCTGGGGGCGGGCCCTCGATGGCTCTGCTGCTTTTCACTTATCCGCCCCCCTGCTGCTGGGCTAGGGGCCACGTCCAGGTGTGACTGCTGCAGTGAATGTCGCTGTGGAAACCCTCGTACACGTGTGGGTGCACATGGCCAAGATCTCCCCTGGGACCTGGTCAACAGGTTAGGGCCCCCTGCGTTGTCTTTTTGTTTTTTTTTTTAACTTCTTACTTTAACATAATTTTACTTTTTTTAAAATATATATCTTATTGATTTCAGAGAGGAAGGGAGAGGGAGAGATAGAAACATCAATGATAAAAGAGAATCATTGAGCGGCTGCCTCCTGCATGCCCCCCAACTGGGGATTGAGCCTGTAACCCGGGCATGTGAACTTGGTCGGAATCTAACCTTGGACCCTTCAGTCTGCAGGCCAATGCTCTATCCACTGAGTCAAACTGACTAGGGCCAATTTTATGTTTCTAGAAGAGTTACAGGGTTGGTACCGAGAGTTCCTGTATCTCCTTTATCCAGCTTCTCCTCATATAAATGTCTAACATAATTGTGGTATATTTTTAAAACTCAGTTTTTCCACTTCATGTGTCTCTTCTGTTCTAGGACCCCAGTGCAGGATAGATTGCCGTTAGTCGCAGGTCTCCTTAGACATGAAACAAACTTTCCAGCTGTAGAACAGTATTTGTAGGAAGTTCTTTTTGTTTTTAGTCTTAAAATATCCAGTCAAAATACTACTTTTCTGAGTTACATCATCTCTTGGGTCTTGTTTCTTTCACTTAGATAAGTTTATTTTAAAATTCATCCATGTTGTTGTACAAATCAATGGTTTCTTCATTTTAAAAAATGTTAGTGAACTTTACATGAAATTAATCATTTTCAGGTAAGCAATTCAGTGGTATTTCATGCATTCACAATATTGTACATCCACTACCTGTCTAGTTCCAAAATATTTTCATCACCTCAAGATAAAAACCCATTGCCGAAGCTGGTTTGGCTCAGTGGATAGAGCATCGGCCTGCAGACTGAAAGGTCCCAGGTTCGATTCCAGTCAAGGGCAGGTACATTGGTTGTGGGCACATCCCCTGTAGGGAGTGTTCAGGAGGCAGCTGATCGATGTTTCTCTCTGATTGACGTTGCTAGTTCTCTGTCCCTCTTCCTTTCTCTTTGTGGAAAAGATCAATAAAATATATTTTTAAAATTAAAAAATAAAAACCCATTAAATGAAGCACTTAACTTTCAACTTCTTCCTCCTCCCAGCCTCTGGCAACCATCAAAATGCTTCCTGTTTCTGTGGGTTTACCTGTTCATATGAATGGAATGAAAAAATATGTGATCTTTCGCCGCTGGCTAGCATAATGTTTTTGGCTGCCTCCTGTATGCTCCCTATTGGTATCGAACCTGCAACCTGGGCATGTGCCCTTGACTAGAATCGAACCCGGGACTCCTCAGTCTGCAGGCCGACACTGTATCCACTGAGCCAAACTGGTTAGGGCTCCAACGCCTGTTCATCACCCTAAACAGAAACCCCACTGCATTAAGTTATAACTCTTCTTTCCCCCCTCCTCTCAGCCCCGGGTAATCTCTTAATTTTTATCTCAATGAATTTGCCTATTCTAGATATGTCATATACCAGTAAGTGTACCATGCAATATTTTCCCTCTTGTGTCTCTGGCTTGTTTCACTTGGCATAATGTTTTCAAGGTTCATCTATGTTGTAGCAAGCGCCAGACTTTATTCCTTTTTTGGGGGGATCTAGAGGCCCAGTGCACAAAATTTCGTGCAAGAGTAGCCTTCCTTCGCCCGGCTGCTGGCACCGGCTTCCCTCGCAGGGGGAGGCCTCACTCACCCGCCATAGCTCACAGTCTGTGGCTCGGGCCTCCCTCTGTGGGGCGGTCATGGGGCCCCTGTCCAATATTGTCGCACCTGCCTTGGCTGGCCTGGCCCCAGTGGGAGTCAAAGTGTGGTCCCGGATGAAGTCCGGATGGTCGTTCTGCTGTTCGGTCCTTAGGTCGATTTGCATGTAACGCTTTTATTAGTACGTAGGATAATACTGTATGGCTAGACTACATTTGTTCACCTGTTGGTGTACACTTGTGTTATTTTCACGTCTGGCTCTTGTGAATAATGCTGCTGTGAATGTGGGCATACAGGTACTGTTGGGTCCTTGGTGCAAGTCCCTGTGGGTAGATACCTAGACTGGAATGGTTGGCAGACCCCTGGTCTAGAATATGTAGGATGATAAACTAAATCCCAACATGGTTCTATACTTTTAAATGTTTGCCAATTTGACCTGTATGTAATGGTATGTTGTTGTGATTTCAATTTGGATTTCCTGGTTTCTCATGGGGTTGAACACATTGTCACATGTTTATAAGCCATTTTAACGCCCTGTTTTATAATGTGCCCATTAATTTTCCCATTCGTGGTTTGTCTTAACAAGTGAATGTTGATGAATTGGTGTCTCCAATGAACGTTTCCTCTGCTGTTTCTGCAGAACAAATAGTGGAGAAAGATGAAGGTCCGTATTACACTCACCTGGGATCTGGCCCCACGGTGGCCTCCATCCGGGAGCTCATGGAGGAGCGGTAAGTGATGCACAGGTGTCCGAGGAGAAGGGGGCAAGTTGTGAATAGAGTGTGGGTTTTTAAGCACCTCTCATTTCCACGCCTTGGATAACAAGGAATACTGATATTCAGACTGTGGAAGGTTGAATATGGGCTTCTTACCCCTACTTTCTTAAAATACACTTTTATTGATTTTAGAGAGGAAGGGAGAGGAAGAGAGAGATTGAAACATCAGTGATGATAGAGAGTCATTGATTGGCTGCCTCCTGCACATCCCTCTACTGAGATCGAGACCAGGCATGTGTCCTTGACCGGAATCGAACCCGAGCCCCTTCAGTCTGCAGGCGGCCGCTCTATCCACTGAGCCACACCAGCTAGGGCTCTCGCCTCTATTACTTCTGGGTTTCTTTCTATCTATAGGTCTGCCCTTTATCAGTCCTCCTCTCCCTTTTCCTTTCTCTCTTTCTTGAAATATAGTTTATTGAGGAAATGTGGTGGAACGGCTCTATGTCCTGTAGAGTTTTCCACGGTCTGGATTTTGCTGCTAGCTTCCCCTGGTATCATTTAGCATGGTCTCCAGCCCTCCGTGCTATAAATTGGTAGTTAGAGCTAAAGGCTTGGTCAGAATCTGATTGTATTTTCTTTCTTTAAAAAAAAAACTACTTTATAGATTGCATTTTGTAGCTTAGCTAGGAGGTGTGTACTGTCCCATCTTTGGCCAGTGGTTGCCTCCTGAGTCCTTCCTATATGATCCTGGGTGTCTTGAATAGCTTTCTTGATTTCTCATATGACGTGTGTTTTGGGCTCACACTGTGTGTTTATCTAAGAAACCCTGCTTCCTCTTATTGTGGGGTAAGAGGACTTAAAAAACAGGCTCTGGGTGCTGGGCAGGATCATTTCATTGCCCTTGGGGTCCTCATTGTTTCTGGACCTTCTCAGTAGAAAGAGCGAAGATGTGTGTGTGTAGGTTTTTCACTTTTGTCATCGTTTAGTGATTCAGTGCATCATGAATGTATATTGACACTTCCAATTCAAACTCAAGCCTGTAGGGTTTTTACTTAGTAACTGTCTTCTGTTTTTTTGTTTTTTTTTAAGCAGTTTGTATGGATAGAGGCTTTAAAATCTGGGTAGGTGTCCACAGCAGGTGTTAAACGCGCCAAGTCCCAGTATATGGAGAGGTGAAATAGCTCAGGGATTGACAGCAGTGGACACGGGAGCTAGACTGGCCCTGCTGCTTACTGCCAAGTCACTTAGATTCTCTCTGGCCCTTTTTCCTTATCTGCAAGGAGGAGATGCTGACAGGAGTGCACACGCTATGGAGTGTTGTGAGGGTAAACAGGATCGATTGCAGGTAAAACACTTAATGTTTATTAGCAAGCACTGCATCGAGTGTCGCCCTCCTACACACGTACTGACTGTAGCTTTTAATAACAAGCTTTAGTATTTCTAGAGTAAAGGCAAAGATTATGTAGATATAAACATGTTTATTCATACATACCGTATTTTTTGGACCATAAGACGCACTTTTTTCCCCCCAGAAGTGGGGGGGAAAAGTCCCTGCGTCTTATGGTCCAAATATAGCCTACACATATACTTTAAAAAAAAAGTTTTTTTACTTGCCCGGCTCTATGTGGTCTCTGTGTGCTTGCCCGGCTCTAAAATGGTTCTAAATGCTGCTGTTTACTTTACAGGGTTGATTACATGTGTTTATGACTGTGATGTTGGGTTTTAACGCACATAAAATATTTTAGGACACTATTTGCTTCAGAATCTTTTTTTCTTCATTTCCCTTCTCTAAAAACTGGTGTGTCTTATGGTCCGGAGCGTCTTATAGTCCGAAAAATACGGTATGTGGAGGGCAAGGGGCGGAGGCTGAGTGGTTTGCTCATTTCCCCAAATTTGGGACCAAATTTTGTCTAACCAGGGAAGCCACATGAATCCTGTCTTTAATATAGAAGGAAACATGATTTTGAACTAACTCAGAGCATCCCTGAAGGAGGAAAAGGTAAGATGGATGGAGGACAGTGATCTTTTCTCATCACTCTTCCTTATCCTCTACCGTCTGGAAACATAGAATTCTAAGTAGCCCATCAGAGCCCACGCTGGTTTGGTTCAGTGGATAGAGCATCAGCCTGTGGTCTGAAGGGGCCCGGGTTCGATTCCGGTCAGGCCATATGCCCGGGTTGTAGGCTGACTCCCCAGTAGGGAGCATGCAGGAGGTAGCTGATCAGTGATTCTCTCTCATCATTGATGTTTCTATCTCTCCCTCTCCCTTCCTCTTTGAAATCAATAAAAGAAATATATATGTATTTTTAAAGAGACAAAGTAGCCCATCAGAAAAGCAGGTGACTAGAGACCCAATCTCTAACTTCAAGCCTAATAGAAAGGGCACCTCTGGGTCCATGAGATTTAAAACAGGGTGTGTGGTGTACACGCATGCCTGCATGTGTCCACACATGTGTGTTGCAGTTTGAAGGTTGGGAGGGGCATCGTCTTGGCCGTTGACTTTTGTAATCCTCACACCAACGTTTGCAGGTTGAGGGCTGTCGGGGAGTCCAATGTACAAGTTTGGCTCTGGCTGTGTGGCTCAGTTGGTGGGGCATCGTCCCACACACCAAGAGGTTACTGGTTCAATTCCTGGTCAGAGCACATGCCCACGAGCAGGCTCCACCTCTGGTAGAGTGCCATGCAGGAGGCAGTGATCAATGTTTCGCTCACACATTGATGTTCCTCTCTCTCTCTTTCTCCCTCTCCCTTCCTCTCACTCAGAATTGTTTTTTTTAAATCTTTAACACAGCAACAAAATATGCATGTTTGATCTGGGGCAGTTTTGGGATGTGTGTTTCTTGGTTGCAAATATGTGAGATTTATAGATAGCTGTCTGAATAACTTTTAGTTATAGAAGACTGTGTTTTTGAAACAAGGATTAAGAGATAGTGATAAAGTTGAGATTTTTCTCTTTTCTCCCTCTCCCTCTCCCTCCCCGCTCCCCACCCTATCACTACTTTAAAAATAGCCACACATAGATTCTTCAGAAGTTGATTGAAGGGAGGGATTCCTCTCAAGACCAGGAATGCCTATGGTTTTCCTCAGTAACTGGTTTATTTTTATCTTGGGGACCTTGTAAATCATGCAACAGATTGCATGCGCTTCTTTATGTTGGCTGCTTGCAAGCTGGAGCCCAATTTGTGTGCCCTGGTGCACCCCCATGGGGGCCTGTTCAGGTTCGCTCCTGAGTCCTTCTGACGGCACCCTAAGGAGACCTCATTAGCTTCCCTTCCTGAGTTTCTCGTGGGATGAAAAGTTCCAGGCTCATCTCAGAAATACACACGAGACCCCACAGTTTGCATCCTGTGTGCCAACATCGTGTCTGTCTGTCCCACCGTTACTGATTCCATCACCTCGTGTAAACATCTCTCTCAAGTTCCTTTTGGGACAAGAAGGGGAGTGAGCAGTTGATGAGAATAACCAGGCTGGGGGTCCAGTTTGTGAATGGTTCAGGCTGTCTCTCTCCCTAGCCCTCCCCCTCTCTCTGCAGGGCCACGCCATTGCCTGCAGGGCCACGCTCCTGCCAGGAGTTAGCCAAAGGCAGGACGGGCAGCAAACTGGAATCAGAGACCTGGTTGCTTTTAGCTTACCTGGTAAAGATTTGGAGAAAAGAGGGGGAGTCGAAAGGGAATCCTAAAATATTATCCCAGTTTATTATGCATTCCATACCTCCTGACTCCTCAGCCCCTCACGGTCGCTGATGACTGGAATCAGTCCTTCAGACCCGAATCTGGAGCGGCGTGCTGCACACAGCCACGTGGCGGCGGCTGGACGGGGACCCTCCGCAGCCCAGGGGCACTAAACGTCCGTTCTAGGAGTGAAGAGCCAGGCCTGTCCCTCCCAGCGCTGGGGAGGGAGCAGGTCTCCCCCCGTGTGACAGGGGGAGCCCTGAAGAAGGACCCCTTCAGACCCGTGGCTCTCACCCTGGAGTGTGCGTCCGTCTCCTTCGGGCTTGTGAAAGCACAGATTTTGGGACCTCGGCCCCGGGTCTCGAACTTCATGGTCTGGGTGGGACCTGCATTTGTCCCAGAGTTCCAGGTGGTGCCGGTCCTGGCACCAGCCTTTAAGAGCCGCTGGCTAGGATGGTCAGGTTACCCTCGGGAATAAGGTTTCCGTGCAGCCTCTTCCTGCAGACTTAGTTTAGGGCCTGGGAATTCGTCTGTATTTCTATTTTTTTAAATATATGTTATTTATTTATTTATTTATTTTTTACAGAGAGGAAGTGAGAGAGATGAGAGTTAGAAACATCGATGAGAGAGAAACATCGATCAGCTGCCTCCTGCAAACCCCCTACTGGGAATGTGCCCGCAACCAAGGTACATGCCCTTGATCGAACCTGGGACCCTTCAGTCTGCAGGCTGACGCTCTACCCACTGAACCAAACCAGTTAGGGCTCACCTGTATTTCTAAAAGGGCCTCTTCATGATAGGCCAGAGAGTCAGACGTTCAAAAAAAAAAAAAAGAAAATTGCATCTGGACTTGGTGGGTTGTCTTTAAACGCTGAGATGGTTCTGGTTTTTCTGAAAATGTCCAGCTCCTCATCCCGTGCTTGGCCCTTCTGTTGGCCCTGGGATCAGGGCCCGGCAGGAAGCGCCCTCGCAGGGGTGGGACGGTGGGGAGGCCGCGCCAGTGTCCTCAGCTCACCCTCCCGCGGGGAGCCGGGTCTCCTTCCTGTCGGCCGTCCTGTGAGAGCAGCGTGGTGGCCTGCGGCGGCTCTTCCCACAGCGACCCCAGCACACACCCCGAGCGCCCAGCGCCTGCCCTCCCAGCACACGCCCAGCTCCCAGCACACACCCCGGGCGCCCAGCGCCTGCCCTCCCAGCACACGCCCAGCTCCCAGCACACACCCCGAGCGCCCAGCGCCTCCCCTCCCAGCACACGCCCCGAGCGCCCAGCGCCTGCCCTCCCAGCACACACCCCGGGCGCCCAGCGCTGCCCTCCCAGCACACGCCCCGGGCGCCCAGCGCCTGCCCTCCCAGCACACGCCCCTGGCACCTAGTGTCTGCCCTCCCAGCACACACCCCGGGCGCCCAGCGCCTGCCCTCCCAGCACACGCCCCTGGCACCTAGTGTCTGCCATCGCCAGCCGCTTCCTGGTGAACTTGTTTGGTTCAAAGTTTTCCGGGACCCAAACAAAAGCAGCCCTCTCTGGTCTTGTCCTCCTGAGCCAGGCCACACTGTGCGCGCGCCCCAGAGTGCTGTCAGCGAGCACGGGGCTCACACAGCCTTTGCATTTTAACGTGGTAGGTGTCAGACACACTTCTCCCTGCTTCCGGAGACTTTGCACAAAAGAGAGAACTCGGAGAAACCTCAGATCAGGTTTTAAAGCCGCTCATTCTCTTTTCCAATGACAAAAATAAAACATGTCTATAAAAGGCCTTTTTAAAAAAAAGTTTAGCCAAAACCGGTTTGGCTCAGTGGATAGAGCGTCGGCCTGCGGACTGAAAGGTCCCAGGTTCGATTCTGGTCAAGGGCATGTACCTTGGCTGCGGGCACATCCCCTGTGGGGGTGGGGGGGGTGCAGGAGGCAGCTGGTCGATGTTTCTCATCAATATTTCTAGCTCTCTATCCCTCTCCCTTCCTCTATGTGGAAAATTAATAAAGTATATATTTAAAAATAAATAAATAAAAATAGCCGAAACCGGTTTGGCTCAGTGGATAGAGCGTCGGTCTGCGGACTGACAGGTCCCAGGTTCGATTCCGGTCAAGGGCATGAACATTGGTTGCGGGCACATCCCCAGTGGGGAGTGTGCAGCTGGTCGATCTTCCTCTCTCATTGATGTTTCTAACTCTCTATCCCTCTCCCTTCCTCTCTGTGGAAAATTAATAAAATATATATATTTTTAAAAAATAATAAAAAATAAAGTTTAGAGTGAATAACACTCTCTAGCTATTTGCCTTCCCGGAAGAAATGGAAAAGAAATGTTTACCTTTCAATGTTTCCTAAGCATTTACAAAGCTATGCATATGGATATAAAGAAATTTTGAACCCAATGAGGTCAGTCACCCTATCCCCACAGTTTGCAACTGCTCCCCCCCTTAGTTTCTTCCTTGCTGTCCATGTAATTCCGTTGAGTCCTTTTAGATGGCTACTCGGCTTCCCATTGTGTGGAAATGTATTTGCTGAGCCAGGCCTACACTGGACACTTAAGCTGTTTCTGATTGTTCGTTGTTGATGCAGCAATGAATATCTCGTGCCTCAATCTCGGTGCATTTGCACATTTATTTCTGAGGTGGAGATATCTAGATGTGCTGAGTAAGTAAGATAGAGCATATGTGTATCTGCATTTGTATGCTAACAGTATGTATAACTGCCATAGCCATGATAACATTCCCTTCGATGAAATAGTACATTAAAACGATACCCTGTGACCAAATTGCATTCACTAGAGCCGTGGTGGGCAATCCGCGGCTCGAGAGCCACATGCGGCTCTCTGGCCCCTTGAGTGTGGCTCTTCCACAAAATACCACAGCCTGGGCGAGTCTCTTTTTTTTTTTTTTTTTTTTCTTTTCTTTTTTTTAATATATTTTTATTGATTTTTTAAAGAGGGGAAGGGAGAGGGATAGAGAGTTAGAAACATCGATGAAAGATCATTGATCAGCTGCCTCTTGCACACCCCCACTGGGGATGTGCTCGCAACCAAGGTACATGCCCTTGACCGGAATTGAACCTGAGACCTTTCAGTCCACAGACTGACGCTCTATCCACTGAGCCAAGCTGGTTTCGGCTCGGCGAGTCTGTTTTGAAGAAGTGGCATTAGAAGTTTAAGTTTAAAAAATTTGGCTCTCAGAAGAAATGTCAGTCGTTGTCCTGTTGGTATTTGGCTCTGCGGACTGATGAGTTTGCCGACCTCTGCCCCAGAGCAATCCAAGGACAGTTTGATAGTTTGATTTAGGAAGTCTGTTCAAAGAGCACCCATGCTAATTGACCAAAGGAGGAAAGCCATTCCGTCATCTCCCCCCTCAGGTGCTAGAAACGTATTTGATGAAGTAATCAATTCTTTTTTTTTTTTTTTTGAAACATTTTTAAAAATGTGATTACGTTTATTGAGGGTGACCTGGGTTCATAAAGGTAATCAATTCTTTTTTTTAAAATATATTTTATTGATATTTTATAGAGAGGAAGAGAGAGGGATACAGAGTTAGAAACATCGATGACAGAGAATCATCGATCAGCTGCCTCTTGCACACCCCCTACTGGGGATGCGCCTGCAACCAAGGTGCATGCCTCTGTCTGGAATCGAACTCAGGACGTTTCAGTCCACAGGCCGACGCTCTATCCACTGAGCCAAACCAGTTTCAGCTAGGTAATCAATTCTTGATTTAGAATCCTTAGAAAAGAAGACCCTTTCAAAGGAGGGGAGTCTTTGTGTCTGTCCCAGAGGCAGCGGGCTGTGTGCTCAGCGATGAATGGTTTAGTCTCCGGTAAAGTCGGGAAATAAGCAGAGATGCCTGCTGGCACTCAGTACAGAGGCAGGAGACTGACATAGAGGCATAAAGAGTGGAAAGCAGGAGGTGGCAAGCGACCACTACTTACAGGCAATATGACCCTGTACCTGAAACGAAAAAGCTATTAACAATCAGATGATTCTAGCTGAAACCGGTTTGGCTCAGTGGACAGAGCGTCGGCCTGTGGACTGAAGGGTCCTGGGCTCGATTCTGGTCAAGGGCATGTACCCTGGTTGCGGGCACATCCTCAGTAGGAGCTGTGCAAGAGGCAGGTGATAGGTGATTCTAACTCTCAATCCCTCTCTCTTCCTCTCTGTAAAAAAATCAATAAAATATATATTTTTTAAAATCAGACATCCGGGAAGATGGCTGCTCACACTGTTAAGAACAATCCGTGTGTATTGGACTCTCCTGGTGCCGGGGACTGGGCAGCACGTCCAGCAATGCACCTCATGTGCCTCCCTCCCGTGACCGTGTCCCGAGCCGAGCAGGAGGAAGTCACTTTGCCTCCCCTTTGCAGATGGGGAAGCCGAGGCTTAGAGAAGTCCCGTCCTTTGGCCACGGCTCCTCTGGCAGGAACGTAGCTGGGCTGCCCCTCAGGCCCAGTCTGTCGGGCCTACAAGAAATGCGCTGTAAGCAGCATTTCCCCCCGGGGAGGTGTGTGGCCTGGAGCAGGTCAGCTCAGCTCCGGGGCCTGTCTGCATCCCCTCTGAAGGTGCTTTGGTTAAGTAGGCAGTATCCGGACTCACGCGTGTGTGCCCGTGTGCAGGGCGGCCAGGCGTGTGGACTGTCCGGAGGCGTCTCGGAGCCAGGGTGTCCTTGTTGCTTCTCCCGCCTCCGTGGTCCACATCATGTTGAACTGTCGGGGGGTGGGGGTTTGAAGGAGCATGGGAAGGGTCTCCCGGTTATTTTCTTTGGCTTGTTGACTTTATAAATAGCGCCTGGGGTGGCTGGGCTCACAGGGCTGGACACCGAGGCCTGCGCGTGGCCTTGGGCTTGGCCCCATTCCTGGAGGCTCGGAGGCCATCGTCGGGGCATCCTGCTGGTCTTCGCCCAGACAGAGCTGGGCCGTGACGGGCCAGCGGCCCTGGGAGCCTGGGGGTGGCCACTCTGTCCCCAGAGGCTCTGAGCAGAGTCGGCGTTGACACTTGCTCTCCCTTCTCCGTGGTCCCTGCAGGAACAGGCACCCGCGGAGGCGCTCCTCGCTGGGGTCGCTCTCCCCCGGTGCCTCTGAGCTGTGGTGTCTGCCGCCCCCTGCAGGTACGGAGAGAAGGGGAAAGCCATCCGGATCGAGAAGGTCATCTACACCGGGAAGGAGGGCAAGAGCTCGCGCGGCTGCCCCATCGCCAAGTGGGTGAGTGTGGTGGCCGCGGCCGTGCCTGCTCTCCGGGCCAGGGTGTGGGAGAGGCCACCCCGGCCGCGGGCCAGCACCGCGGAGCTGGCGCCTGGCGCTCGCTGAGGGTCCCGTCTCCCCGCCTCCGCTCTCCGTCCTCTCTTTGTTCACATGCCGGCCCTGGCACCCGGCTGGCCTCCGAACCGCTCTAGCCATTGTACGGCTCATCCCGCCCCCTTGTTCCGGGCTGCAGAGAGGAGAGGGGGAGCCGAGATGGCGTCTTCCCCAAGTCCGGCCCCGCTGTGGCCGACTCTGACTCCTCTGCCCCCGCTGTGTGCCCGGAGCTCCTGGTGTCCTGTCCCATGCCTGGAGTGGGCTGGCGAGGCGGGGGCGGGGCGGGGCGGGGCGGGGGCGGGGGCAGGGGCGGGGGCGGGGGGCAGGGGCGGGGCGGGGGCAGGGGCCGGGGTGGGGGCGGGGCGGGGGTGGGGGCAGGGGCAGGGGCGGGGGCGGGGCGGGGGCAGGGGCGGGGGCAGGGGCCGGGGTGGGGGCACGGCAGAGGGTGTTTCTGCCTTTGGCTGTCCCAAGCGAAGCTGCTCGGACCACGAGGCTATACGTACCTGCCCGCGGCCCTGCTCTCACTTCCTGGGCGTCTTCCTGGGGGTGGGATTGACTGGTTCTGTGGGAATTGTCTGTTTAGCTTTTTGAGGAACTGCCAAAACTTTTCCACGGCACCACGGTCCTTGTTTTTTAAACCAGAAACATACAGACACACAGCATTTCCTCTGCAAGTGTTTTAGGACGACAAAATTCTCAATATACACCGAGTGGCCAGATTATTATGCTCTCTGAATGCATAGTAACCTGACCACTCGTGTGTGTGTGTATTTTAGAGGCCCGGTACATGAATTCGTGCATGGGCGGGGTTTGGCCAGCCTGGCCAGGGAGAGGGGACATGGGTGGTTGGCTGCCCTGCCTGCTGGTGGAACTCCTGGTCGAGGGGACAACTTGCATATTAGCCTTTTATTATATTGGATATACACTGAGTGGCCAGATCATCATGCGTTCAGAGATCATAATAATCCGGCCACTCGGTGTATTTTGCCTTACGATGCTATCTCTGTATTCCTGCGCCTCTATAAGTAATGAATAACTTAGCTTTTGTAATAATCATTGTTACCATAACGACCTCAGCCTCTGGGGGGGTGGCACCCGGTCTGCGGCAGAGGGAGGGGGCGTGGCCCGCGTGGGTAACGCCCGCCCCGCCCGCAGGTGATCCGCAGGCACACGCTGGAGGAGAAGCTGCTGTGCCTGGTGCGGCACCGGGCGGGCCACCACTGCCAGAACGCCGTGATCGTCATCCTCATCCTGGCCTGGGAGGGCATCCCCCGCAGCCTGGGCGACACCCTGTACCAGGAGCTCACCGACACCCTCCGGAAGTACGGGAACCCCACCAGCCGGAGATGCGGCCTCAACGACGAGTAGGTGGCGGCCGGCGGCCGGGCGGGACGTGGGGGAGCCTCTGCCGCGCAGGGCCTGTCTGCCCGCAGGGCCTGTCTGCCCGCAGGGTTAGGCCTGGGAGGTGGGGGGGGTCCCGGCCTGGGCTCCGGTCATGGCCGGGGAGGGCCTGTCTGACCCGCGGGTTAGGCCTGGGGGCGGGGCGGGGTCCCAGCCTGGGATCCGGTCAGGGCCGGGGAGGGCCTGTCTGTCCCGCGGGTTAGGCCTGGGGGGTGGGGGGTCCCAGCCTGGGCTCCGGTCAGGGCCGGGGAGGGCCTGTCTGTCCCGCGGGTTAGGCCTGGGGGGCGGGGGGGGGGGTCCCAGCCTGGGCTCCGGTCAGGGCCGGGGAGGGCCTGTCCCGCAGGGTTAGGGCTGGGGGGGGGAGGGGGGTTCCCAGCCTGGGCTCCGGTCAGGGCCGGGGAGGGCCTGTAGGCGTGGCTCAGCTTTGCTGTCGTGCCCAGATCAACTCTGAGGGTCACAAGAAGAGTGTATAATAAGGTGGCCAGATTTCCAAAAATCAGGACTTTTTAAAACACCGCAGGATGCGGGACAAATTGTTAAAAATTGAGACTGTCCCGCCAAAAGCGGGACGTTTGGTCACCTTAGTGTATAAGTGCCCCACTAATATACATCCATCGAATTCACAGAGCCTATCCTCATAGAGGTCCTCCCCCCCATTTTTTCATATTAAGGTATTTTTACTTACAATAAAATTCATTCTGTGAGGTCCACAGCTTGAAGAGCTTTGGCAAATGTTTGCGGTCATGCAGCCACGACCGTCGTAAATAAAGATACAGACAGTTCCGTCGTCCACACAGCCTCCCCGGGCCCCTTTGTCCCAGGCCCTTCCCCCACCCCAGCGGCCACCAGTCTGGTTTCCTGTCCCTGTAGGTTCAGAGATCATCATCATCTGGCCACTCCGCGTATTTTGCCTTACGGTGTTATCTCTGTACTCCTACGTCTGTATAAACCAGTAACGTTTTAAGCGCGTTACATCAATGCGTCTGCACCGCGGGCAGCCTTCTGCGTCCGTCCTCCTTCCCTCCGCGCAGTGTTTCCACACATCCCCGGGGGCGGAGCTCCTTCCTTTCCACTGCAGTGTTCCCCGCCCGGCCGCACCCCCGTGTGTGCGTCCGTTCCCCCAGCGGAGGAGCACGCGGGGCGCTTCTGGGTTTCATGAAGGGTTGAGTTGTGATGTCAGTGTGTGTGGAAGGCCTGTCAGCAGCTGGGCCTGCGGGAGGTTCAAACCCCGCAGTTCCCGCCACGGCCCTGTGGGTGCGGTGTGTGTGAGAGCTGTGAGGACGCCGGAGTTACGACACAGTGTGACCCTGTTGGGTGTCTGACTAGCCTCCTCCCCCCTCCTCCGCCCGCCCGCCCAGGTGCTTCCCCCACCAGCAGGCCCTCCGGAGGGGGCAGAGCCGGCTCTCCCCCCAGGACACCTGGGGAAGGAGTGGTGGGTGGAGGCCGGGGGCCCAGGCGTGGGAGGCCGTGGGTGCCAGGCTCAGCGGGGCCTCCCGGGGAGGAGGGAGAGTCTAGAACAGCAGGGAACCGTCGGGTCCCGCCTGACACGCAGTGTGTGTTGCAGCCGGACCTGTGCTTGCCAAGGCAAAGACCCCAACACCTGCGGTGCCTCCTTCTCCTTCGGCTGCTCCTGGAGCATGTACTTCAACGGCTGCAAATACGCCCGGAGCAAGACGCCTCGCAAGTTCCGCCTCGCCGGGGACAACCCCAAAGAGGTGAGGGCTCCCCCTCGCCCCGCCCCGCCCCCTGGTGTCTTCTGCTGTCCGGAGGGTTAACACGCCGCCACTCAGACGCTTTACTTTCTCACCAGCCTCGTTGTGCTGAAGATAAGGTCACTGGGGAATGCGCAGAGAGGGGCAGCGAGGGAGAAATTGGGCTTCTCACTGCAAGTGCTTCAGGCTCTTCCGGTTGGTTTAAAACCGGCTCTTTAAAGATCCCAATTTCTCACCAGCATTTGACCCTTTTAGAGAGTAATTACTGCCCCTCCTTCTCCCCCAGACCCCTCTCTGGGGCTGGAGGTGCCGCAGGAAGAGGCCTCTGGTCCTAGGCCGGCCTCCCGGGGCGTCCCTCGTCCCGCCCGCGGCTGGAGGGCGTGTCTGTGCGGCGTCCAGTGTCCTCCTCGCTCCTCGGGCACCGGGCTGGCGCCCAGGTGCACGGCCTCTAGGTCTGAGGCCTCCTTCCCGCCCGGTGACAGCAAGCCGGTCCCTGGCTCCCGCCCTCCCCGTGGGCAGGGCGGGGCGGGGCGCGGGCGGGCTGCCCCACGTGCGGTGCCTTCTCCCGCAGGAGGAGGTGCTGCGGAAGAGCTTCCAGGACCTGGCCACCGAAGTCGCCCCCCTGTACAAGCGGCTGGCACCCCAGGCCTACCAGAACCAGGTACCGGTGCTGGGCCCTCCCCCACACAGGTCACCCCGCCTCCACCCAGCGCCCGGGGGTGGGGGGCTGGGGTGAGCTCCTCCGAGCTCCTCACAGGGACGGCCCAGCCTGAGGGGGAGCGGGCATGCGGTTCTTCGCTAAGACCCCTCCTCACACCACACGGACTGCATCCCAGACCGTCTCTCCTCCATCCTGGCCTCCGTCCCCCTCCACCGCCTCCGGCCTGGGGTCTGCTGGGGAGGCTTAAGTCTCTCTCACCCATACCCACGCACCTCTAACTCGGGGCGTGGAGCGCTCACAAGCAGGGACCAAAGCTGTGGGTTCTGAGGGGCCCGGGAAGTGCCCCCGGCCAGGTGAGGGACCCCAGGAGAATAGTCCTTCCGGGGCCTCAGCCGGAAACCCACCGTCCTGCAGCCCAGAGGCGAGTGGACTGGGAGCCCCCCTCCCTCTCCCACACCTGGCCCACCAGACGCAGGTGCACGATGCGGCCCCTCCCCGGTCACCTGACCGCTCTCCCTGGTCGTCCCCACAGGTGACCAACGAGGAGATAGCAATCGACTGCCGCCTGGGGCTGAAGGAAGGGCGGCCCTTCTCGGGGGTCACGGCCTGCATGGACTTCTGTGCCCACGCCCACAAGGACCAGCATAACCTGTACAATGGCTGCACAGTGGTAAGGAGGCCCCGCCCACCGGTCCATCCTGGGAGGCGGCCGGCTGGCCTCTGCAGACAGCTGGGCTCAAGCAGGGAGGGAGCGAGAGATTCTCAGACTCTGGGACTGCCCGCCGGACGGCCTGCTCCCACCCAGCTCTCTCAGAAAACCCTCACGGACAGGGCTTGCCTTGTTTTCCGTGATCGGGTGGCTGCTACGGAATGCAGCCCCTTGGGCACCTGGAGTGTGCACACACACTCACACACCAACCACACAGACATACACACACACACACACACACTCATACACTCATACACCAACCACACACACACACTCACACACCAACCACACAGACATACACACACACACACACACACTCATACACTCATACACCAACCACACACACACACACTCACACACCAACCACACAGACATACACACACACACACACTCATACACTCATACACCAACCACACACACACACTCACACACCAACCACACAGACACACACTCTCTCACACTCATACACCAACCACACAGACACACACACACACCAACCACTCCAACCACACACACACACTCTCACACTCACACACCAACCACACTAACCACACACAGACACACAGACACACACACACACACACACACACACACACACACGCTAACATGTGGTTCCAGGTGTCTGTGAACACTTGGACTGAAATCCAAGCACCCTCTCGATTCAGTCTGTGTGCACATGTTGACTGTTCTGTGGACGGCTCTGAAGCCAGGAATGAAATGCACGGTCCCTCCCAAGAAGGGGGCGTGTTGTGCGGAGCAGTGAAGGCTGAGGAAAGATGCAGGCAGCCGGGGGGTGACGTGATAGGTGATGTTTTAGAGGCAGAGAGGCCTCCCTGAGGAGGGGCACCCGAGCTGAGACGTGAAGGAAGCGAGGGTCGGGAGCTGAACGTCTGGGGGTGGCGTGCCCTGGACGGAAGGACCACCGAGGCAAAGGCTTGGGGAATGGGGGTGGGGGGCTGGCAGGGACCAGGGCCGGGGTTGTGCTCTCAGTGTGATGGGAAGTCCCTGGAGGACTCCTCAGCAGCGGGTGGTAAGATCTCATTCATAGTCAGACACATCTTCTTGCTTCTGCAGATGGAGAATAAAGTATGTGGAGTGGGGGGAGGGCGGGGAGGGAGAGAACCAGAGGAAGGCCCTTGGGAGGCTGGGACAGTTATCTGGGCCGGAGGTGACAGGGCTTGGGCAGGCGTGAGGGTCGGAGTGGGAAGTAACTGGACAGATTTTGGATGGTTTTGAAGATGCAGCTGGGAGGACTTGCTTTGGGAAACAGAGAAGACTAGAAGCCCACGCTAAGGTTTTTAGTTGAGCAGCTGGGTGAGTGTTGGTATTATTTACTGAGATGCAGAATAACGGGGAAGACCAGTTTTGGGGTGAAAAATCAAGAATTCTCTTTTGAGATGCCTGTTGGATGGATGTCTGGGAGGAGACGTGGCATAGGCAGGGGAGACGGGAGAAATGAACTTGGGACGGGTCAGCATGCCGTTCGTGGTTAGAGCCACGAGGCCAGAGGCAGCCAGCAGGAGAGTGAGTGCAGAGAGGGCGTTCGGGCTGGAGTGGGGAGCAGGGCTGGAGGTCGGTCCAACCCAGAACGTGTCAGGCCAGCTCTCTCCTCTGCGTCTTAACTAGGATCTGGGCAGACGGGGCTCCGGGGCTGAGGAGAGGCGAGGGCCCCAGCACATTCACCTAAAGGGGGCCTCCCAGCGTCAGGTGAGGCTGTGTCCCCACGGAGATGGAGGCCCCCACTAGGATGCCATTTCTCCACCTGGTCTTCCTTCTCCGTGGCCACTGTGAGAAGCAAGGTGGGGCAGGCTCCTGTCTAGACGCTCTGGTGAGGGGTTCTAGCTGGAAGAGAGAGAAAGGGAGGGTCCTCCAGGGTTAGGAGCGGGTGGGGAAGAGGACAGGCAAGGAGACAGAGCTTCTAGAGTTTGGAGTGAAAAGAAGTAAACTTTTCCCAATGTGAATAGAATATTCTACTAATTAACAATTATGCATTGCAAAAAAATAAAAATAAAAAATAACAAGAAAGGCCCTGGCTGGTTTGCTTAGTAGTTCGAGTGTTGGCCCATGGACTGAAGGGTTGCTGGTTCAAGTCCCAGTCAAGGGCATGTGGCTCAGTTTTAGGTTTGATCCCTGCTCTCCCCCCCACCCTCGTATCAATACTGTATTAATGCATTAGAACCAGCTTCTAAATCATATTGGAGAATATTTCATGCATAAGAAAATACTCATACTATACTTCTTTAAAATATATTTTTATTGATTTCAGAGAGGAAGGGAGAGGGAGAAGAGAGAAAAACATGAATGATGAGAGAGAATAATTGATCAGCTGCCTCCTGCACACCCCCTGCTGGGGATGCAGCCCGAAACCAGAGCACGTGCCCTGCCCAGGAACGGTGACCTCCTGGCTCAGAGATCGATGCTCAGCCACTGAGAACCCCCGCTGGGCTGCCCCGTTCTTTTTAAATGACGTCACTAGAGCACTGTGGGCAAAACATGACCCTATTACCAGAGGTGAGTGTGCGCATGCACGTGTGACCGGAGTTTACAGTGATCACTGCGTGGCAGTGGGGTTGTAGAGAGTTTTTATTTACTTTTTGCTGGCATGAGTTTCTACCACAAGCATACGTAGTTTTTAACAAAAAGGAGAAGTGTTTTACGAGCAAAAGGAGGCCATGTGTTCAGAGAAAGGAGGAGGAGGAGGAGGAGGAGGCTACAAGATCTAGCACAATGGCAATAATGTCCCAGCTCTGACGCCTGCAGCCCTGACCCGGCCCCCTGCCGGCCCTGTGACCCCAGGCCAATCACTTCATCCCCTCTCGGCGTCGTTAAGAGGATCACATGAGAGAGTATGAGTGGACATGCTTCGAAAGCTCTAGACGCAGTGTTTCCCAAACTTTTGACATAGGTGTACCCCTTCTATAATTTTCGTAACGCTGAGTACTCCTCGTACTCATGAGAACGTAGAATTAGGTGCAGCTAAGCACGGTGCAGTGCATATCCCCACCAAACTCTTCCCGTACCCCTGGGGGTACGCGTACCACACTTTGGGAAACACTGCTAGAGCAGCGGTCGCCAACCTTTCAGATGTCACAGACCACGGACCGCTGGTTGGCGACCACTTCTCTAGAGCATGCCGTCACCCTGTGAGCCCAGACAGATGTGACGACGTCAGTCTGTGAGCCCAGACAGATGTGACGGCGTCAGTCTGTGAGCCCAGACAGATGTGACGGCGTCAGTCTGTGAGCCCAGACATATGTGATGCTCTCACCCTGTGAGCCCAGACAGATGTGACGGCGTCAGTCTGTGAGCCCAGACAGATGTGAAGGCATCACCCTGTGAGCCAGACAGATGTGACGGCGTCACCCTGTGAGCCAGACAGATGTGACCCTGTTACTCTGAGCCCAGACAGATGTGACCCCGTTACTCTGAGCCCAGACAGAAGTGCTCTGTGGGCAGTCCTCCTCAAGGGAATCGGGAGCGTTAGGGCCGAGCGGCTGCCTGGCGCTGGGGCTGTGTGTGTGGCGGGGGGGTGGGGGGCATGCTCGGCCCCTTGGCCCCGTGTCGGGCTCCTCCAACCCCGTGCCGCTCCCCCCTCTGCCCGGGCAGGTCTGCACCCTGACCAAGGAAGACAATCGCTGTGTGGGCAGGATCCCCGAGGACGAGCAGCTGCACGTGCTGCCGCTGTACAAGATGGCCACCACGGACGAGTTCGGCAGCGAGGAGAACCAGAGCGCCAAGGTGGGCAGCGGGGCCATCCAGGTGCTCACCGCCTTCCCCCGCGAGGTCCGCCGCCTGCCCGAGCCCGCCAAGTCCTGCCGCCAGCGGCAGCTGGAGGCCCGCAAGGCCGCGGCCGAGAAGAAGAAGATCCAGAAGGAGAAGCTGAGCACCCCGGAGAAGATCAAGCAGGAGGCCCTGGAGCTGGCCGGCATCTCCACGGACCCAGGTGTGTGGGCGCGGGCACCCACCGGGCGGCGTTGGCGCTGTCGGGGGCTGGACCCGGACGGCTCCCTCGCGGCCCCCTTCCTGCCCCGAGATAGAACGGCAGAGAGGAAAGTCCTGGGGGCCCTCTCTGCCCCCTGGACCACCCCATTATCTTATCTTTTTTTTATTATTATTGATTTTTTTACAGAGAGAGAGAATTAGAAACATCGATGAGAGAGAATCATCGATCAGCTGCCTCCTGCACACTCCGCACTGGGGATGTGCCTGCAACCAAGGTACATGCCCTTGACCGGAATTGAACCCGGGACCTTTGAGTCCGCAGGCCGACACTCTATCCACTGAGCCAAACCGGTTTTGGCCACCCCATTATCTTGATCTTGTCAGGGTGGAGGACACCGTACCTGGTAGGAGACACCTAGGGAGCAAGCCCAAGGAGGCGTCTTACCTCCAAGAGGAGCTGAGATCCCCTCCCACTCCCTCGCTGAGCGTCTGGCGGGGGGGCCTGGCTTCGGGCACGTGGGCTGCGTGGGGGCGACGGGCAGTGCAGCCCGTGTCCCTGCTCCTGGCCCACGTCCCTGCCGTGGCCGGCACGAGAGGAGGTGCTTCGGGGAGGACTCGGGGGTGGTTGGCCGGGTGGGGAGTGGGCAGTGACGCTGACCGGGCTGTGGGCTCCGTGAGCCGCCTCCCCCAGGGCTCCCGGGGGCCACGCCGAGCGGCGCCCAGAGCTAGGCCGGCCTCCCTCGTCTCGCCTGAGGTGACCAGACTTTCGGCAGGACAGTCCCGATTTTTAACAGTTTTCCCCGCGTCCCGCGGCATTTTAAAAACAGTCCCGATTTTTTCCAAAAATAGTTAAAAATCAGGACTGTCCAGTCACCTTAGTCTTTTTTTTTAAAATATATTTTTATTGATTTTTTTTTTTTTACTGAGAGGAAGAGAGAGGGATAGAGAGTTAGAAACACCGATGAGAGAGAAAGCATCGATCAACTGCCTCTTGCACACCCCTATTGGGGTTGGGCCCTCAACCAAGGTACATGCCCTTGACCGGAATCGAACCTGGGACCTTACAGTCCGCAGGCCTACACTCTATCCATTGAGCCAAACTGGTTTCGGCAGTCACCTTAGTCTCGCCTGATCCGAAGAAGGAAGCCCTGGGGGCGGGGGGGGGGGGCGGGGGGAGAAGGGGAAAGGGGAAAGGGCGGTCCCCAGCCCCAGCCCGCCCAGGGTCCGCAGCGGCGCCCCCAGCGGCTCCTTCTCCGTCTTGCCTCCCGTTCTCCCCAGGCCTGTCTCTGAAGGGCGGCTTGTCCCAGCAGAGCCTGAAGCCCTCACTCAAGGTGGAGCCGCAGAACCACTTCAGCTCCTTCAAGTACGGCGGCAACACGGTGGTGGAGAGCTACTCGGTGCTGGGCAACTGCCGGCCGTCCGACCCCTACAGCATGAGCAGCGTGTACTCCTACCACTCCTACTACGCGCAGCCCGGCCTGGCCCCCGTCAACGGCTTCCACTCCAAGTACGCGCTCCCCTCCTTCGGCTACTACGGCTTCCCGTCCGGCGGCCCCGTCTTCCCGTCCCAGTTCCTGGGCCCCGGCGCCTGGGGCCACGGTGGCGGGGGCGGCGGGGGCGGCAGCTGCAGCTTCGAGAAGAAGCCGGACCTCCACGCGCTGCACAGCAGCCTGAGCCCGGCCTACGGCGGTGCTGAGTTTGCCGAGCTGCCCGGCCAGGCTGTGCCCGCGGACGCCCACCGCCCCGCGCCTCACCACCAGCAGCCTGCGTACCCGGGCCCCAAGGAGTACCTGCTGCCCAAGGCCGCCCCCCAGCTCCACCCGGCGTCCAGGGACCCCTCCCCCTTTGCACAGAGCGCCGCCTGCTGCGGCAGGTCCATCAAGCAGGAGCCGGCCGACCCGCTGGCCCCGGCCGAGCCCGTGCCCAGGGACCCCGGCAGGATGGGCAAGACGCCGGTGCCCGAGGCGGCTCAGAACGGCGGGCCCGGGCACCGGTGGGAACAGTACTCAGGAGGCCCCAGCACGTCCCCCAGGCAGACCAACGGCGTGGGCGGCGGCTGGGGCGTGTTCGCTCCCGGGGAGAGCCCCGCCGTGGTCCCCGAGAAGCTGGGCTCCTTCGGGGCTGGCTGCCTGGCTCCCTCTCCCTTCCCGGAGGGCCAGTGGGGGCTGTTCCCCGGGGAGGGCCAGCCGCTGGCCCCCCAGCCCGGAGGACGGGGGCTGCGAGGCAAACCGTGGAGCCCCTGCAAGTTCGGGAACAGCCCCTCGGCCCTGGCCGGGCCCAGCCTGACGGAGAAGCCCTGGGGCATCGGGGCCGGGGACTTCAACCCCACCCTGAAAGGCGTCGGAGGCGGAGGCGGCCCCGGGTTCCAGGACAAGCTGTGGAGCCCCCTGAAAGGGGAGGAGGGCCGGATGCCCACGCCGGGGCCCGCCGGCCCGCCGGACAAGGCCTGGCCGCCCTTCGGCGTGCCCCTGGGCGCCCCCGGCGAGAAGCTGTTCGGGGCCCTCAAGCCCGAGGAGAAGCTGTGGGACCCGTTCGGCCTGGAGGAGGAGGCCGCCGAGGAGCCGCCCGGCGGCAAGGGGCCGGCCAAGGAGGAGCGGGCCCCCGCGGAGGAGGACGAGGAGGAGCTGTGGTCCGACAGCGAGCACAACTTCCTGGACGAGAACATCGGCGGCGTGGCCGTGGCGCCCGCCCACGGCTCCATCCTCATCGAGTGCGCCCGGCGGGAGCTGCACGCCACCACGCCGCTCAAGAAGCCCAACCGCTGCCACCCCACCCGCATCTCGCTGGTGTTCTACCAGCACAAGAACCTCAACCAGCCCAACCACGGCCTGGCGCTCTGGGAGGCCAAGATGAAGCAGCTGGCGGAGCGGGCGCGGGCGCGGCAGGAGGAGGCCGCGCGGCTGGGCCTGGGCCAGCAGGAGGCCAAGCTCTACGGCAAGAAGCGCAAGTGGGGGGGCGCGGTGGTGGCCGAGCCGCCGCCCAAGGAGAAGGGGGCGGTGCCCACCCGGCAGGCGCTGGCCGTGCCCACGGACTCGGCGGTCACCGTGTCCTCCTACGCCTACACCAAGGTCACGGGCCCCTACAGCCGCTGGATCTAGGGGCCCGGGCGCCAGCGTACCTCAGCGTCGGGCCCGGCCCGCGCTGCCTCTGTGGTGCTTTCGCCCTCACACCTTGGGGGGGGGGGGGGGCGCGGGTTGGGGGTGCAGAAGTCTTTTTTATCTATATATACATATATATAGATAGGCATATATATGTATTTATGGTCCAAACCTCAGAACTGGCCCGCCCCTCCCTCCTCTATTCCCCCTGCCCCGCCCCCCGCCCCACCTCCCCAGCACTTTGAAGAAGAAGCTATGGCTGTCGGGTGATTTTTTTCGTGATCTTAATATTTATATCTCCACATCGGCTTCCCCCCCCCGCCTTATTGGGGGGGGGGGGCTTTTTATTTTCTCTTGTTTTTAAAAACTCTATCCTTGTATATCACAATAATGATGGAAAGAAAGTTTATAGTGTCCTTTCACAAAGGAGTAGTTTTAAATTCCATTTAAAAATGTGTATTTATTGGATTTTTTTTTTTTTTTTAAAAAGCGACAAGAGTAATGGTAAAAGGATGGTCAGGATCAGCCAGCCGTGCTCCCTCCAGCCTGGCCCCCGGGAGCCCCCGGACAGACACGCCCTCCCCACAGGGAGAAGCTGTAGGAGAACGTCTGGGCTCCCTCTTCCAGGCACCCGCTCGGAGCTGGGGAGCGGGACGGTGCACCCCAGGCCGGGCCCCTGAGCGGCTGGCGGAGATGCCCCCAGAAGCCAGGTTGGAAGTAGACAGCTTCAAGCTCGCTAGTCGCCACACTGAACCCTCTGTGCCCGTCACGCGCCAGGTCCCAGGACGCCCTGCTTCCCCCGGCGGCACCTCGCGATGGCGCTCTTGGGAGAGGCTCTTCGGAGCCTTTGCCACCGAGTCAACAAGCCAGTGAATACCACCGGCCCGAAGGGATTTGTCCTATCAGCAGTGTCTAAACAAATGCCCCAGAGTCCATGCTGACACCGGGGAAAGGGCTACTGTCTCTTTAAAAGCAAGAAGTTGAACCCAAGCTGTGAAAAGCCAGCCTTGCCCTGCGTGGGGCGCTGTGCTGAGCCTGGTGCTGTAGTGAGTGTGCGGGAACCCCCGTGGCTCCGGGGGCAGGGGGCCGCCTGCGGGGACAGTTACCGCATCTCTCCCCATTCCTGGATTTTCACGTCGGACAATGGTGCATGCCTCTCCCCCGAGCCCCTCCCCCCATGCTATCCCCCGGGGAGCGGGCCCACACTTGGCCGTTTATAAACGCCAGAGTCAAACGTTTTCAACCGGTAGCTATGGTTTTTCCTCCCTCATTGGTGCCATTTCTCTCGTCGGTCGTCTTCTCCTTTCCCTCCTCCCCTCTCCAACCCTCTCAAACACACGCTCGAAAAAAAATCCTGGTGCATTCGTTCGTTCGGTTCTTCAACATGTGCATGTGGTGCTTACTTTCCCTGGCGTGGCTGAGAGAGAGGGCCATGGGGCCCGGCCGGTGGGCGCCGCCTCCGTGGGCAGCAGGTCCCCTCCTCGAGCGTTGGCGTTGCTGGTGCTGTGAGTGGCGGCTGTGTCCGTCCGTCTGTCTGTCCGTATGGCCATGTGGTGAGGACACACGGGGGAAGGTGGCTGCCCGGTGAGTGACAGCCGAGCCCGGAGAGAGATGGCAGGTGCTGGCTGAGCGGTCTTAGACCGAGGCGGGTCTTCCTACGACGAGGGAACAATCAGAGGACGGTGCTGGCGGCAGGTTCCTGAGCTCCCGGTGCCTTGGGTGGGCTGAGAGCCGCCAGCCGGGCGGGGTGGGCACCGGCTGGGAGGAGGGTTGCCGTCATGCGTGGTGGGCATTGGCGTGGTCTGGTTTTAACTGTAAATAGAGATTTTTTTAAGCACTTTTTGCCTAGATTTAAAAAACAGCAACTTGAAGAGAAGTATGTTTTAACCTGTCCTTGTGGGAGAAAACTGTACATAGTAGCTGCATATTTAAACGTGCTTTGTCTATCCTTCGCTTTTACCATATTCTGTAAAGTCGCGTTTATTTTACAGGACAGAAATGAAATATTATTGCTTTTGAAATAAATACCCAAGAGCTTATCAGGATTTAGAATTATTCAGAACTCAGATTTATAGGAAGAAAAAAAAAAACATTAAAAAAAAAAACACACAAAACTCTGACCTTCAGCCGGACAAGCTGAAGGCAGCAGAGTCTTTAACGCGCATGCTGATTTTCTAGTCTTGAGGACACGTGGGGCCCGTTAACCGCTATTTTGCGTAATCGCATCCGTACTTTTATGCAGGTCTCGCTTGATTCCATGCGTAGGTAGATACGGGGGTGCCTTGAAAACTTCATTTTAACTTAATCTTGAGCAAGAAATTAACAATATTTTGCAAAACGTTCGGAGAGTGTGACGGTCGGTGTGGCCCGGGGAGGCCCCCGGGCGGCCGTTGGTTTGGAAGGCCCCGAGTGTAACCCAGGTGATTCTGATCCTTGGCACGCATGACTCCCGCTGGTGTGTGTGACCTAGACCCTCCCCCTCGCCGCCCTCCGGTAGCAAAGCCATTCGCTGAGAAGAGAATCCAATACAAGCTCAGAGCATGCGATGTCTGCGCCCCACACCCCGCCCCCGCCCCCCCAGCTCCCACAGCCTTTGGTGCATAAATCTCCAGGTGAGCAAACAGGCTGCGCGGGGGGAGGCGGGAGGCAGCCCCCATGGGACGCCCCCAGCCCCTGGGAAAGGCGTTTGGGAAACCCGGTGGTGCTGTGGCCGTGCTCACGCCCGTGCTGATGTGTGCACACTACATGTATGACCTACCTCAAGTCTCCGTCGCTAAAACGAGCATGCTTTCGGCGTACGCTAGAAAAGGAACTATGCACAGCTCTCTCTTCCCGACCTCCCCCCTCCTGCTGCTGAAGGTTTCTGAAAGAGAAAAAAAAAAAAATCAGATTTTTATTTTTTACGGGCCCTACCCTTTTTTTAAGTCCTAAAGGTGATCACCAGACATTTGTATCATGAAAAGAAAACAATAAATAAAGCCATTGCAACGAAAGAGCCTAACAGCATGACCCAAGTTCTAAGAGTAACTATGACAGCAACAGGCAGTGATGGAGCCTTCTAGTCCCCCGTCCCCCCCCCCCCCCCCCGTGCGCCCTCCACAGACATCTGCATGCAGCGCTGACCATTGGTTCTTCTCGTTTTGTTTTGTCGTCGTCCACCCCCCTCCTTTTTGTGTGCAAGGGACGTGCTTGCAAAGTTCTGTGCTAAGAGATTTTTAACATGAAAATTGCTTCGCGGCAGGTTCTCTCAGAACAACTGGTGCTAGCTCAAGGAACCGTTCTTCAGCCATTGGAAATCTTGACGGGAGGTGTTGCATGGGTTTTGAGGTGTTCTGTGTGTGTTGTTGGGTGTGGTTGTTTTTTTTTGGGGGGGGGGGCAGGGGCAGGGCCTCGGTTTCTGCTTTGCCCTCTCCCCGAGAGGACAGTGGTGTGCGTGGAAAGAGGTCACCCCTGCCCCTCCTCGGTCCTCCCACCAGCCTCCTTGGGCTGCCGCCGTGTGCAGAGCGAGGGGTCTTGACGTGCTGGGGAGGGGGAGAGGCCGCAGAGCTTCGTGGTGCTGGACTTGGCAGCAGCAGGTGTGTGAGGACGGCTGATGACGAGTAGTCGGTAACCCAATTTCGTGGCGGCAGGTGACCCACCGCCAGATCCCCGACCCGGGCAGACAAAGCCAGCGGGAGAGTGAGAGCGACACCCCTGATGTGCCTCCACCAGTCTCTTCCCTTTCGTTGCTGAAGTCGTGTCTCGTGGACTGGGGAGCGTTCTCTTTTTTAATGAATTGAAATCGTCTCAATAAACTGGTGCTATGGTGTTTCAATGTGACTGTCCCCGGCCCCGGCCTGCTGAGGTGCTACCGAGCTTCCGAAACCACAACCAACCAAAAACGAGGTGGGCTCCCGTCTCCGTGGCTTCTCCTCCCCTCCCCGTTCGGTGCTGTCTCCTTCGACCCCCGTGGACCTGCTGCCGCCTGCTCCGAGCGCGCTCTGTTCCGTGCCGCCGTCCTTCCCGGGGGCCGGACGCCGAGAGGCAAGTCCCAAGGGCGGCCGCCCCCTGACGGCGGGTGTGGGGGGCGGGGGGCGGCCTGGCGTGGCTGGTGCTCCAGTTCCAATCCTGTCTTCTCAGGCCTCAGGAGAAAGGAAGGGCTTCGTTTCTTTTCTCTTCTTTCTTCTTTTGTTTCAGGAGGGGGACACCTGCCGCCTCTAGCATGGCAGGCCTTCTCACAGCCAAGGAGGCGCGTTCCCCGCAGCCCGGGTGCCGAGGAGCGTCTCCCGGGGGCCCCGTGCCCTGGTGCTCTGCAGGCCGCGGCGGACCCGGTGTCCTTCCCCTGGCACCTGCCGGGCTGCAGGGCAGGGCTCCTTCCGAGGCTCCTCCCCGCCTTCGCCCAGTGTTGCTTCTGCCTCTCACCCCTCGTGTTCAAGCTAAAGGAAGGGGCGTTCTTGGCTCCCTCGATGCCACTCGAGGCTGCTTTTTAGTTGGTGCTATTCCAGATTTCCTCTTGGGTCCACAGAAGTTGATGTTTTAAGAACTCAACGGGAAGCTCCATTTTCGTGTCATCCACTGTCACAGCACGTTCTTTTAAAATACCTCAGACACAGGACACCGTGACAGCGCTGGGGACGTAGGTTCCATGAGGGTCCGTCCGTCGGGGTCCTTGCGTGTGTCACTCTGCAGCCGTTCCCATGGCAGAGCGCCTGGAGGAAGGGGCGTATGGTTGACTTTCATTTCCTTTTCTCCTTCAGTTCTGCTTCTCAGTACAATGTGAATTCCCCAGGCCCATCTCACTGAGCTTGTTTCCGTCATCGTTGCTGTCACTTGCAGTGACTCCCTCACGGCCTAGTGCGATCAGCCGGCTGTCTCTACCGGAGTACGCAGCCAGTTCCAACCTAACCCTGGACCAAAACGAACACTTTCTGAGGTGCGTGCCCCCAGCATAGGTTATCCAGCCCCACACCCACGCCCGAAAAGATCTTTCCTACGTGCGAGGCCCTGTCTCGGCGCCCCCCGCCCTTCCCTTCCGCACAGCTACGGGCAGGAGCAGAGCCGTGGGCTTCTCCCTGCGTAGAGACCGCAGCGCAGACATAATGCAAAGTCTGACGTCGCTTTAGTCTGAGAACCGGTGAGCGATCTGACCACCTTCCCCGTCTGCTTCTCTTCCGATATCAGGGATGCTTCGTGTAGCCGTGTGACTTGCTGGCTCTCTCCTCCTCTTGACTATCCATCATTCAGGGATAACGCGTCACTCTTCACATGGGGAATTAAAAAATACCCTCTGGCTCATTGGAACATCCACATTTTCTTGGTCCCAATGCTTGCTTTCTTTTTCCGAGGGGAAAGGGGAGGAGAAAAACAGAAGTGCCGTTGTTTCTTTCTCATCTACTCCAACTTAAAAGAGAAACGAGGTCAGGTCATATCGTGGGCATATACATGCATTCTATTTCATCCAGAGCCCCTCTAGCTTTTTTGATGTGTTTTTATTTCTTTTCTCTCTTTGAATTCCTGTTTGGTTACTTGGCTTCCAATGGAGGTGAACTTAACAACCATACTTGAATATTCCGTCTTGACTTCGTAACTGTGGCTACTTGAAATGAAGTTTTATCTGGGGTTGATGGATGAATGGTAGATTTTTGCAATGTCTCAAGGCAATAGGATGTGTATTATTAAACTGTAGATATTCTTAGTACAGTAAATTTATGCTGATAATTTTATTTTGTATAATTTTTACCTTTTTGTTAATATTTTTTCCTCCCACTTTATTGGTTTGCCTCCTGAGCTACCCCCCTCCTCCTTACCCTCTCTTCTCCCCCAGTGTTTCAGTAAATTTAATTTAGGGTGCCTAGAAATTGCAAGTATGTATCCTTTTTTTGATTTGTATTTTATTATAATTTACACAAACGTCTGGGTTTGTGAACTGTATTACTCCTGGTATCTTTAAAATATTGTGGGTGTTTTAATAAATTTTATATTTATTTTTTGCACTCAAATTCCGTGTGGGTTCTTCATTTCCCCCTGGAAGCGGGCCCAGATCGGGGTGTTTTGAGGCTCACCCTCAGGCTGTGGATTTGTTGGGGGGCGGGAACAGGACCGGGTGTTCGACTGGAGGGGGGTCGGATGGGACCTTGGCTCAGCAACTTCCACACCTGAGTTCTGGCTAAGAAAGAATCCAGAACCCAGACTCAAATGATAAGAAAAAGTTTATTTAGAAAATCACAGCGGCCGAAACCAGTTTTGCTCAGTGGATAGAGCGTCGGCCTGCGGACTGAAGGGTCCCTGGTTCAATTCCAGTCAAGGATATGTACATTGGTTGTGGGTAGGAGGTGTGCAGGAGGCAGCTGATTGATGATTCTCTCTCATCGATGTTTCTAACTCTCTATCCCTCTCTCTTCTTCTCTGTAAAAAATCAATAAAATATATATTTTTAAAAAAACTGCTGAAGCATAAAATTATTTAAAAAAAGAAAGTCACAGCACTAGAAGAAGCGGGCAATAGAAGAAATAGCCGAAGGAGGCAAACGAAGGCCCCTGGGAGCTTAGGGGAGAGAAGGGGGAGGGAGGAGGCTCCAGTGGGCGGAGCACGGAGCCTGCCAGGGAGGGGACTTTGGGGGAGGTCCCCGGGGAAAGATCTCAATAGAAAACTCACCAGCTTCCCAGGGTGTCCTTTCAGGGCACGGTCACCACTGATGGGTCAGCACCAGGCAGGGGGCCATGAGTCCCTGCAGCGGGTCCTGACGTCAGCCATGGCCGAGCTTGTCTGGTGTGGCTGCTTTTCTGGGCCTGGAGCTGACACTCAGCCCAGGCCTTGATGTGTCTGAAGCAGGTCAGAGCCTCATTGTCCTGGGGGCTTAATGCGTAAACGCTGTTCTCTGGCCCCTTTTCTGTTTCCCCTCTAAGGGGGTGTAGCCTGCATGACTGGGAACATGCCAGGGGAGGAGAGGTCAGGAGGATCTGCACCGGTGACAGGCCTGGATCTATACTGCGTGGCCGGGTGATGTGCCAGGGGCG